CGGTATTTCAAAAAAAATGGGTTCATGTATGGATTTCAAAGATCATGCGGGAAGATAGATGGACAAACATGCATTCTACTTACAGCTATATGAATGAAATAAACTAAAATTCATGGTTAATTCGTAATAAAATTAAAATAAATCAAATTACTCAAAGTCCCTCTACATAATCAAAATTTCCCAAACTTCTCTCTTATAAATTTTAACTAAAACAAAATTAGTTCGTAAAAGAAAAAAATATAGTATTTATTGGACAAACCCAGTCCGTAAAAAAACTCACCACCGCCGCAGTTGCCGTGTCACCGCCTATGACTCCGTGAAATGCAAATAGCAAACTAAAAATTTAAATTTGCATTATTGAATTGTAAACAACAAACTATCTTTGAATTCGTCAAATGCAAATAACAAACTGAAAAAAAAAAAAAACAACATCATTTAATTACAAACAACAAAATGAAAATATAATACGCATCATCTAATTCAAATAGTAACAATAAAAATACAAAACAAAAAAATAACACATACCACAAAAATGCAAAAAAAAAAAAAAAAAAAAAAACAATAAAATTATAAAAAGTACTATGTCAATGCAAAAATTGCAATTTGCAGTTTGCAAAAAAAAAATCTACTATTATAGGTTACAATTTGCAGTTTATGCTTAATGCTGCAATTTGATTTTGCTGTTTCATAATGTAAAGCTCCTATTTATTTTCCTTATCTATAACATAATCCCATAAAACTTAGAATTCGAAAGGAAAGAAAAAAATTCGAAAAAGATGTGATCGAGAAAGGGGTAGAGAGAAAGAAAGAAGGTGATCGGAAAAAAAAATCGGAAAGATGTTGATCGAAAAGAAAAAAAAATCAGAAAAAGAGAAGGAGAAACGAGATGGAGAGGGAGAGAAAGACAAGAGATTAGATATAGGAAGAATGAGACATAAGATTGGAGAGAGAGGAGGAGTAATATATGAGATTTGTTTTCTTATTAATTGATCGTATATATTATATCCATGTAATAATTATTTTGTTTTATTTATATTAATTTTTTTGTGTTAGAGAACCTATGCCTATATTCATCTAACAACTAACCTACATATATCCAAACTAAGGGGTGTCTAGAACATTTCCCCTAGAATAATACATAAATAACATTTAATTTAAGTGATGGATTAAAAGTTCAACGGTTTGGGGGTTGTCTCCTAATTTAACACATAAAATAATACAAGTGTGCAAAAGAATTCCAAGTTAACAAGATTATTTGTAATTTTTTTGGAGAATTTTGGAAATATTTAGAATATTAAGGTGTGGTAACTGTGTTTTATCTAATTTGCGTTCTATTACAACTGTGATGTTATGTCGCGTTGGGCAATTTTATCGCGGCATTCTCGTCAAACTATGAAACTGGCGCGAACACTAAGGCTTAGTTGTTGGCATTGATTGAAGGGCTGAAATTGTGTCGCTCCTTGGGGACCAAGTTTCTACAAGTCGAGAGCGATTTGTTATTGATTGTTAACGTGATTAATCAAGGGGGTAATAATAATTGGGAACTGGAATATTTAGCTCGCGAATGTAGAGATTTGTGCAATAGTCTCACTATCATATGTTCTCATATTTTTCGACATCAGAAAATCGTGCCAGATAAGCTTGCAGCTGTGACTCACTCTCACGTGAACACAGAAGAGTTTTTTTCGAACGGATGATCTTCCTCGCTCGATTTGGGTGGCTTTCTAGAGCAACTACCTGGGAATATGGGAGTTTCGGGCTTAGTTGGCTTCTTGATGGATCGAAATTATTCTTCTAGTTTTGATAGATTTGAAAAGAAGGATTTGCTGGGCTGTTTTGCAGCTTTGGCTAAATTGCATTTTCAAAACCATCTTGGGGCCTTCCAATGGTTCGCCGGCGCAGAACAGTCGGCTGTCGCGGACACTGCCGTTCCAGTTCCATTGCCACGTCGCGGTTCCGTCGCGGCTCCTGTTGGGAAAATTGGTTAAAAATTGAGTCATGAACAATTTTTTATCAATGTTATTGTACGGTCTAATTAAGTATATAAATGAATTTTGGATTAGAACCAATTTTGTGGTGAATGAAAAAAATTACTAGTCCAAATATAAGGAAAGTGGGATTTTGAGTTATCCCACATTGGAAAAGTAGAGAAATACTGAGCTGTATATATATCAAAAATATTAGGTCATGGGCTTTTAACCCATTGGGCCCTTATTACTCGAAGCCCATCTCGATTCATCTGACTGGTCTGAATTGGTGCGGCCGAACCAATGCAACCATTCGGCTCAACTCGAAATGGTGCAACCACTCCCAATTGGCTCAACTCGAAATGGTGCAACCATTCAAACAAAGGTACCTTTTTGCTCCAAAGGACACTACTTTTCGAACCTTATAAATAGACCCTAACTTTCCCACAATTCCTCACTTCAATCCAAAAATAAGCCTACTGCATATTAAGCCTACCCTTCACAGATTCTCTCGAAAAGTTCTACACAAAGTACAGTTCGTCGTACTTGGGATTTGGAGTGCTCCTATTCCAAGCCTTGCCGTTGTATCTTGGGAGACGATTTCCATTTAATCCGTTAGCACCGTTGCGGGGAAATTTCGTCTTAAGGACAGAGTCAACTCGCCTCGGCAAATTTACGTTCATTGCAGATAATATTTTCGTATTTTCACTAATTGTTGTTCAACCAATTTACTAAATTCACTACCCGTTTTATGTATCGGGAACAACAGCTCCATCGCGGCCGGAACAGATTTTTTTTAATTAAAATTCTAAAAAATATTTATTTCAAATATATTTTTAATACCAACATTACAATACAATAATACCAACATTTCAAATATATTTATTTCAAATATGTTTTAGTTATTGTTACTTTCTCCTATTAATAGGAAATTAGAGGGATTATAGGGATTAGTGGGGTCTCTTTTATTAATTTAAATTCTTTTTTAATTTAAAAAATAATTTACACTCTTCTTTTACCAATTATCCGTTCCCAATTTTCCTTTTTCTTCTTTTTTTTTCAGTTTTTCTTCCGTCAAGGGTCTCGTTCTTCCCAATTATTATGTCTTTTTATTATTATTTTTCCGTTCCGGAGCCGTTCCGGAATCGTTCCGGTGCCGTTTCCCAGCTAAGTCTCGGCCGTAACGGTGGTCCGCTGCGTCGGGGAGGGCAGAACAGTTTTGTTAGGGATTCCGGAACGGCGGGCACCGTTCCCGTTCCGGGACGGCCGTTCCGGCCGTTCCGGCGAACCCTGGGCCTTCCTTAGGAATAGTAGTTGTTGTTCTTTCATTTTTAGCCATATTTTTTGGCACTTTTGTAATAGATTGTATAGGACTTTGATTGTCCGTTTTTTTTTTCCTTTCGTTTGTAGAGGTACTCTTTTCCTTGATTATGCCCACAAGGTTTTTAGCGAAGCCCCCTTGTACATTGAAAAATATTTAATTGAATAAAAAAAATTGGCAAAAAAAGGAGGAAATCTCATGTTACACGCACATGAAAGCATTATTAAAATACAACTCACTAAATCACGTCGAGAGGGAAGTCTTTTTCCGAAATTGAAACCAAACATGGTACGAGAAGGCCTCAACCATATCTATGGTAAAATCGACCTCATGCCCAGATCACCCTCCTTAACCAGTCCCAGACCGATCGCCAAACGATCTAATAGATAGATACAACGTCTGTCGCCATAGGACCCCCTAAAAAGGGCGATACACGATCTGGGTCCGTGATGAATTCAACCTTCTATAATTTGGTCCCAGGCCGCGATCCGCGTGTTGGGGATCGGGATGTGGATCTTGGAATGTTTTGGGTGCTCTCTGTAATTGATCCCCAGATCACGATCCGAAGGGAGAGGATCGCAATCTGGCATCTGCGTCAACTTCAACATTGTGTTAACTCTTTTGCAGTCCAAATTGGACATAACTGTTTCACAAAAGTTGTAGTACTGACAGTTGTCTTTCTCACTTTACTTGAATCAGCTCAACCGAATGTCATATGAGAGAGGTATGTGTGACACACCGAACACTGCTACACTCAGCTAGAATCAACTTTACACTTGTTTAGCTTGATTGTCGACTTCGCTTCCAAAATCGTTTCGAATCGGCAAAAAAAATTCTCCTTACCTAAAACTAAAATAAAACAAGAAAGATATAATATATACAAATAAAGCCGAAACTCGGACAACGAAGACCAAAACTCGGACGAACGAAGACCATACTATATTACCTAGGTTTGCAGCGTTTGAAGGATCTCATAGACTCGTACTGTAGAGTGTCTGGCCAGATGGTCAACAAACATAAGAGTTCCTTCATCATCGACGAATCCTACGATTCCAACACCACTGCTCTTATTAGTCAGACCCTTTGGTTTGTCTATCAGGGACTTCCCGTCCAGTGGTGAAGCTAGTATTTCATCATTGGGGGGCCGAATGAACATTAAATTTTGGTGCAACTAGGATTTTGTTACATAGTAGGCTTAATATGTTGGTGGTTGGGGGCAGCACCCCCAAATTTATTTTAGGATTTTTTCTTTTTGAGAAACGAGAAGGTAGAAAAAGAAAATAGAAATTAAAAAACTTATAATTTTTTTTTGAATTAAATTGAATTTTGGGTGGGCTAAATAGTAAAATTTAGGTGGACTAAATAAATATATAAGTATAATAAAAATAGAATGTTTTTCAATTGAGAGTAGGCTTGAGTCCATCCTCGTCGAAGGGTGCAGTTAATACCTCTAATGCCAAGTCACAAATCCTAACCTCTTTACCCTACTTGCTAGATTTATTTATTATTTTTCTTTATTTTTTGCAATTAAAAAGACTTAATTTTATATTTTTATACAATTATAGTATAAAAATATATTGATGCACAGTATAAAGACAATAAGTT